TTCTGAGACTGATGATTTTGAGACTGATGAATCCGAGGCTGATGAATCCGAGGCTGATGATTCGGAGACTGATGAATCCGAGGCTGATGATTCGGAGACTGAAAAACTTATTAGTAAGCTTTTGATTTTAGGGACAAAGAGAAAAAGATAAAAATGCGCCTATATTTACATATTTTTGTTTTTTTAATCTCTTATGACATAACATCTACATATTTGTTGTTATTCTAGTAATGTGCTCACAATATTGATTTTTTAGTTTTATCATCTTCATTCATTTATTGTTTAAAAAAAATAAAAAATAAAAAATGATTATTTTTATTACTTTTATTGTATTTAACAATAGATTAAAATATTGTACACAGGTCATGAATGTGAGTATTGTTTAAAGGTGGGTGACCACTTTACGCAACTATGCCCTTACAGGTATCATGTCCCAGAGAATGCAATTGTTGGCAAGAGGTGTGTGGTAATTTGTCATTGTTGTGGGTGCCACTTTAGAGAGTTCTGTTGTTCCAGATGTGGCGAAAGCGATGGATTTGCAATTCGCATGAATTGTATACATTGTGGGAATTATGGTGAACACATGACTTATATGTGCCCGAATCGCGAGCGGAGTCCCCACTTATGTTTATTGTGACCCTTACATTAGTTCTTGTTCTTTCCATTGAAATAGTAGTAGAGAACGGACGGTTAACTTTACTCTAAAAGTTAAAGTAAAGATTAAATGTTAATTTCAATTTAACAAACATTTAGAATTTTTATTTTAAAAATTTTAAAATAATTGCAATCTTCGTGGGCATGGAGAGCAACTCACTCCATGACTAAATCTCCTGCAATATTTAATTCAGCTCCTACATGTGGCCATGTATCCCAATGTTGACTGAGATTGACTGCATATATACAATAAAAGAAAAAGGGGGGAAAAAGTAGTCTTTTATGTCGTTGGCTGTCAATGTCATGCTTTTGTTAACATTGGGTTTTGTTTTTATCGCAAATGAATTGCAATTTGTACACATAGGAAAGGGAAGGTGATGTGGCAGTGTCATGTATGCATATGAATCGTGGCTTCGACGACCTCTCTTAAGTAGTTGGATATAATTGCCAGGATTGTAATCAAGGTTACTGCTTCCCACCCTCTCATGAGAAACTGGCTATGAATGTGCCAGGGTTGCTTTAAATTCATAAATCAATTAGATAAGGAATTGAGATTAGGAATTTAGAATTGAGTTCAAATGTGTAATTCATGGTTTCTAACTTTTTCTGTCATCAACTAAACTTATATAATCCATTGTCAATGATGCAAGTTAAAGCAATAAATAAATGAAAGAAAATCACCCAATTAAATAAGCCCAATAAGAAATTGTACATAGGAAAATTTGTGACTAATTTTAAACATTTTGCACATGCAGCATGTAATAATGTGGTACTTTATATGAAATTCAACTTTACACCTATGGCAGAAACATGTACCATATCATATTGCAAGAATTAATAAACGTAACGTCTTTTAGGGGGAAAGAGTAACTGGAAACTTGAGCTCAAACAGTTGAATGTTCATTCAATCATCAGCAGGGATGTCCTCGTCACTCTCCAGAAATGAGCCAAGAGTCTTTCTCAGAATACTGAAAGTTCTGTCATCCTGAGTTTATAAACAGAAAATGTGGTGTTGAGACATGTTTGCATATACATGGAGATATCAGTACAAGCTTCTTCTTCTTTTT